TCAGTCAGTCAGTCAGTCAGTCAGTCAGTCAGTCAGTCAGTCAGTCAGTCGGTCAGTCAGTCAGTCAGTCGGTCAGTCAGTCAGTCAGCGAAGAAACGGGAGTTAATGAATCCGGCTTACGTCACCAGATTATACGCATATGGTTATAGGACTTACATCGAGATGACAAACTGTTTTGGGGGCCCATAAAGAGGCGAGGGTGGACAGGGAGTGGAATGAGACGGATTCCACATGTTTTGCATGATTAAAGTCAAGGTCAAAGTTTTATTATGGGTGATTTAACAAAACCAAAGCTTCCCATGCCCCCCTGGGATTTTTACAGAATCTTTTGAATAGCTTTACAAAGATAAAATAATAATAACCATAACATGCATGATCAGTTACGAATGTTGAAATTTTAAGTGTTCCAATGCTTTATCAAGTTGCGATTTAAATAGTTCAACTGTAGGAGCACACACTACATCAGATGGGAGAGAATTCCATGCGCCGCACACTCTGATTGCAAACGAGTAATACCGGCAATCAAGGTGGCTGTTCTGGGTCTTCACCTTTAGTGNTCCCCTGAGGTGATCATTTTGAGATAAAGTCACCATAGAACAGCAAGGGTGGTTGGGTCGATACAGTATATGGTATGTCAATATTAGGTCTCCCGAAGTCGGCGGTATTGAGATGAATAAAGTCCTAATATTTGCAGTCCTTCGGAATATGTCTTGTTACACAGACCTTTTGCCAATTTTGTTGCCAGACGTTCTAGAGCCTTCTTGTCGCGGTTCAACCACGGATGCCATACTTGAACGGCGTACTCCATGTGTGATTGAACGAACGCTGATAGCAAGCGTGGGAACAGGGCTCTTTCGAAGTGCCCGAAAGCACGTCAGAGTAGTGCAACTTGCTTTAGAGTCATGGTGATACTCTGGCACAGTGAGTGGAACATCCTATGTCCTCCTGTTCCATAACTCCCAGATCCCTTTCGTTAGTGGCATGCGGTAGTATTTGGTTCCCCAGAACACAGGAGAAACGAGTCTTATGCCACATGGAAATAACTCTGCATTTGGAAATGTTGAACTCGATGTCGTTGGCGATTGACGATCGGTGGGCTGCGTCGATCGTTTGTCGGAGTGCTATATGATCCTCAGGATGCGTCACAGTTCTCCAGATCTTAGCGTTGTCCGAAAATAGCAGTGTATTAGGCCCAAGGACATGCGGCAGATCGTTTATAAATGCAAGAAAGAGACGAGGTCCCAGTACGGATCCTCGAGGAACCCCTCGGGCAGCGATGATAGGCTCCGATAATGAATCACCAACACGAACTGACATGGTTATTTGTCGGAGAAACTCTTTAATCCAGTCCAGAACCAAACCTCTTACTCCGTAGTTATAGACTTTTCGCAGTAGAATTTGGTGATTTACTGGATCAAATGCTTTGGAGAAGTCCAAATAAACTATGTCCAGTGGCTCACCTGCATCGATGGATTTTGTCCACTCATCTCGTGCAAGAAGTAGATTTATGGTGCACGAACGTTTCTGCCGAAATCCATACTGATTTGGAGACAAAACCTTCTCCAGATACTCCATCACCAGATCTGCTACAATAGCCTCCATGACTTTCTACAGCATCGGAAGAAGTGTAACAGGGCGATAGTTGGCGGGATCACTGCGAGAGCCCCTTTGGGAAATGAGTGAAATCACTCCTTCCTTCCAGGACTGCGGAATTACTGCCTGGTTGAATATCCTTTAGTAAAGAACAGCCAGAGGTTTGGATATGTTGGCTAGTGAGATCAGAGTCCGCGGATGCATGTTGTCTGCTCCTGGGGATGAATTCTTACACAATTCCTACGTAGTTTTGCTCTAACCTTCTCACTATCAAAAACCAGTGACGGATACGGTATACAGGATAGTTTGCCTGGAATCTATATTGCTTTGTGTGTCGCTACACTAAACATCTGATCTATCTGGGTTTTGAGAAACCCTGCTGCTTCTAGAGTAGTATTTGAAACATATCCAGATGATCTTAATGCTGGTATTCCGCGTTTCACCTCCCTTGTAGAGTTGATATGTTAAAAATCAATTTTGGATCAGAAATGAATTTTCGAGCCAGGGTTTCATCATCTTTGCACATCAACTTGTCCTCTCATACAAACTTGGTACACTGATTTCGCAGTAGGGAATAATTATTCCAAGTTTCGATAGATGGAAATCTTCTGTACTCCCGCCAAGAAAAGTACCTTTGCTCTATCCATTTCTTTGTTCGGTCGAGAATGAATGACTGCCGAGTTTTAGATTTAGCACAAGCTTTGATACTTATTGCAGCCGTTGTAATTTCTGTGAAATGATCAGTGAAGCTCTTCCATGCCACCAAAGGATCTTGATCGTCTTCTGGGACGACCCATTGCTTAAGTACTGCCAGGTTTTGTAGCTTTTTGTAGTCTATGATGGCACGAGTTCTACTCTTTCGATTTTCCTGGGTAAATGCGTGGCCTATATATTCAAAATTCAATACGGTATGATCACTCCGTCCTAGTGGAAACGTGACATTGACAGATTCCTCCATCAGCTCCTCGTTAGTCAACACTAAATCCAGTGTTGATGGTACGTGACCTGCTCCAAATCTGGTGGGTTCTATTACGTGGTTGTACAATGGGTGCAAGCCAATGAACTGCGATAATTGTCTTTCGAATGGCTGGCGGGAAGTCCTCGTTCTAATAAGATTGGGACCGTTAAGGTCACCCATTATGAGGACATGGGTGAACTTTAGTGATAATGCATCCATTCCTCATGGTTTGCAACAGAATCTCGTTGGCTGAATCTGAAGATGCAGGAGGTCGGTATACGATACTGATTAGACAACTATCGTTTTTGGAGAGTCTTAGTGAACACCATAATGAATCGAGGGCCACATCGGGAATATCAAGCTGTTCACAATGTAGATCGTTTCAATGAATAAGCATCACTCCACCGCCTCGTGTAGAACGATCACGTCTGAACAGCGACATTCCTGATAGACCCAATTCCTAGTCAAGAATGTCGGTGGTCAGCCAGGTTTCAGTGATAGCAACAATGTCAAATCGATTAGACCCAGTCGATGGGGATGATAAACGTCGTTACTCCAAATCTTTTTCATCAGAATGATACTCTCTAATTTGATCAGTTGAACGATTCACTCCAGCAGTCCCACTTGTCTCCGGGTAGGGGCTTTCAGAGCACTTTACAACAATCTCCCCTTCCGTCATATAATTGTAAACAGATTCCCAGCATATCATTTCCCTTACCTTTGAAAAAACGCCTATCTGTTCGTCGTAGGCGTCGGCTAATGATTGA